CGGTCTCCCAAAGTGCTAGGATTATAGGAATGAGCCACTGCACCTGGCCGAGACTGCAAGTTTCTAATCAAGTTTTAGTTAACCTGTGTGACAGCCGCAGACATTGCCTTCTGACAATTAGCTTTTTTTTTTTTTTTTTTTTTTTTTTTTTAAAAAGGTGTGTGTGGGGGCAGTCACTCGGTACTACTCACTTCTAACCTCCTCGGTTTTCTGCTAGATTTGGATCATTTTCTTGTGCCTTCAGAGTTGTTTATATTTTAGCTGGGCTTTATAATTATTATCTGATTATGGATATAAGATAGCAAATTATCTTGGAGTTGAGATATCATTAATAAATCTTTATTTTTAAATAACCAAAGTAAAATTAGACCTTAGTGAGCTTTATGTCAGTATTATTGTCCTGATCATTTATAATTTTTCTTTACTTTTGCATTTTTTTCCCTATAGATTGCCACAATCTCTCCAGGAATGGCATCCTGCGAAAATACTCTTAATACATTAAGATATGCAAATAGGTATGAGAGTTCTCCATTTTGAAATTTGAGGGTAGTAGTAGAGCAGTATATAGTATAATTTAATATCTGATAAGGCAAATCTTCCTACATTGTTCTTTCAATTTTCAAAAGAAATTTTTTGCATGTTATTCTGTAAGATGATATTTAGAATTGTTTGTCAAGTTCGAAAAATAAGTAGAAAATGTATTGTATAATTTGGAAAGAATGCAAATTCTTCTATTAAGACTCTAAAATAAATGAATGTTAAGGGACATCTATTTCTTAAGTTGTTTCGCTATGCTGAAAAATATTCCTGGTAATATTAAATGCTATGTATGAGGAATATAGGGCTTGAATAAGAAGTTATAGCACAGTTCTTTCTGGTCCTCTCTATCAGTAACATTTTGTTATTCATGATAATAGTGTCATATACATCAGTAGACAACTGGGTTATTACTGATGGAAGGACAAAATGCATCATAGGCTATTAAAGCAGTTTATTCCTTAGAGTCATGAAATGCCCTTGGAACTTTAACTTATGATGGGCACATTTATATTTGTTCCATAGATTTTTTTTTTTTCCCACTGCTCTTGCTTCGAATGACTGCTCATATAGTTTTAAATTTCTGTTATCACATGTTATATTTCTGATTTTAACCTGGAGGTAAAATTCCTCTTTGTAATGTTTCTAGTACAGAGATTCTCTTAAGTTTGCTGGACAAAAGTGTTTGTCCTTTTTCTTTGTTTTAATCATTATGGAAATCTTATTTTTAATCCTTTGTTAAAATGTGAAATACATATGCATATAGAAAAGTACCCAAAATGTAAGTGAATAATTTAATGAATACTTACAAACTTAAAACTCCTATCATCAGACGGGGAAATAGAGCATTATCAGCCCCCCCAAAAGGTTCCCCGTGTGCTTTTCCCTGATCACAAATCCTGAATAACATTCCTAAATCCACTGATCTCCACCCTGATATAACCATTGTCCCAACTTTTGTGGAATAATTTTCTCATTTTTCTTTTTTTTCTTTTTAAAAATAGTTTTACTACCTGTGAAGGTATCCCTGAGCAACACAGTTAGCTATATTTGAACTTTACATAAATGGGATCAAACCCTTTGTTCTCTTGTATCATGCTGCTTTTGTTTCAACTGAAGAGATTTTTTTACATGGTAGCAAACACTGTTGGAAGGTATAAACTTATTGACTTTTTGTGAAAAGGTATTAAAATATAATAGCTTCTTAAAAAATGTAATAGAACTACATATATAAATATAGAACTATTGTATTTTCTAAATTTAATCTCTTGAAATTTGAATTATGAGCTCCTAGCTGCAAACCCTTGTGTTACTTTTAATTGATCTTTGTCATTAACATTTTTGGTATGTGGGATTTTTATAATTCATTTAAAATGCTTCGTATTTCAAAATTGCTCATCAGAGAGGTGAGGAAAAGCTTAGTGTAGTAGAATCTTGCCATATTGTAGAATTGAAACAAACAAAACCTCTCAGTGTCTTAAGACTTCAGACTGCAAAGGACCCCTCTACCCCAAATATTGTGAAAATGCTGTGTCTGGCTATTCCTCTAGTTCATTTAGGTCAAGCAAAATGTTTTAACCTATTATCGTATAGTGTAACTCATTTGCAACATGACTAACCATTTGGGACAAATAATTGTCTCACTTTTATTTCCAAATCTTTAGGAATAAAGATTTTTATCCTCCCTTGATAGCTAACTCATGTCAATGTTTTATGACCTTAAGAATCAATAACTTTTTTTTTACAGTCAAGCAGAATTCATTCCTCTTTAATATTAAATTTGCCTCACATTATTTAGGACAATCTTTTGAGGTGGTGGTAGGTACTATTACATGGAAATTTCCATATTTTTAGGAAATTGGTTATCTCTGAAATGTTTAAACTTCTTGTTTTTAAGACTTAGCATAGTGATTGAAGAGTGTTACTTCTCAAGACAAAATGGTACCTGCTTCACTACTTAATGGCAGCAAAGCCTCAGGAGAGTTACTTAAGCTCTCTGCCCTTGTTTCTCATCTTTAGAATGGAGCGATTAATGACCCTGTTCATCTTAAAGGATTGTTTTGAGGAGTAAGAGAGGTGATCTGTGTAAAATATTTAACACAGTGCCTAGAATATATTAAGTGCATTAATCATTATTCCTGTTGCTACTTTAGTGAGCAGTTCTGTCTTAAAAATTCAGCTAGATATGAAAACAATGTTTTTTCAAATCCTTATTTTGTCAGAATCATATACTTTGAAAGTGTTTTATGGGAGTTAGGGGATAATTTTTAACAGTACACATTGCAGCTAAGTGATTAAGATGACAAATCTAGTTGCAATCATATGACAATTTAAGATATTTTAGAAGAGAGTAGAGGGGAAAACTTTTAGAGTGGAAGGAGTGGTTGTCCCAAGGGAAAAAAGTAGTGCAATATATATGAGAAACAGACAGTACCCTCTATCATGAAGCAGAGTACAATCTTTGGATAATAGAAGAGATTGAAGTGATTAGGTCTTGGGTAGAAGAGTGAATAAGAGTTTTTAACAGCATATTTGAGGAATATGATTACTGTACATAGTTTGGCTTGGGCAAGAGAGGTTTGGATAGAGGAGAGATGTGTGGATGGAGCTAATGGGGTGTCTAAATTAGGAGATTCTGAAGCCGGTAAGAAATGGGGTTGGGATTGAAAAGAGTTAAGTTAGTATTAGAAATTTAGATTTGTCAGCATATGTGGTAAATAAACTTTCGAAAGTGACTGTTTTAAAAGATAAAGGGCAGATGAATGCAATATTGAACCTTCGACAGTAGATATTGCTAATAGATTAAAGAATGATTAAAAGTAGAAGAGATGTATTAGTTTGATTTATATTATATAATATATATGTATATCATTGGTTTTTGACTGTTTCAATCTATAAAGAAAGGAATTTCATCTAGTTTGACGTGAGAGAAGTGATAAGGGAAACAGAGAATAAGGTTAGTATATTGAAGTGTGTAATAGCATAGGGTTTGTACTCAGGGCTAGAATTTAATTTCAGTTATGCCACATTCTCATTGAATGACCTTGGGTAAGAGATTTTATTTTTCTGAGCCATTTTTCTCATCAATTAAAGGGAGATAATATCTCAAGATTGTTGTAAGGACTAAATAATGCCTAAAAATTACTAGTCCTAATAAATAGTACCTATTGCTGTGAAATGGGGTTTGCCCAAAGAAAAGTAATAATTTAGTTAAATGTAACTATTACAGATGTTAGCAAAAGTAATTTTTTAGAAATTCCATTGCTAAAGGCTGTTCTCCAACGAGGATTCACGTGAATCACCAACCACAGAAAATTGAGTGAATATTTTTCTCAGTTAGACCAAGGATGTTTCATAGTTACTACCATTCTGGTTGATGCATGGTAAAGAAGTTAATTGATTACAAAAAATGGATGCCTTAAGGCATTTGGATTTAATTCCCTTGTGTTCTGTTTGAAAACTGCAAAAATGTTGAGGTCACATTGATGCTATTAATAATAAACAAAATAGTTATGATACTGACCACATTAGGAAATTAGATTGTGTTGTTGTGTAGTTAAATAAGGGGCATTTCAAATTTAGGTGATGATCTAGTTAAACTTCTCGGAAGGATTTTGAGAAAGGGGAAGATACACCAAAAAGAAAGAATTTAGGACTATAGAGTAGGGAATCAGTACTTCTTAAAAACTTCTTTAAATTGTTTTTTTATGAAATAATATTCTAAATACATTGTCACAATATTATATCCTTTTATAAACAAATAAAACAGTACTAAATGAAAAGTTGCAATGTGCATTGCTGTGTTTACAAGAGCATTTTCTTTTAATTTGTTGCTGTTTTGGTACTGCAGAGTAAAGGAGTTTGGAATTAGTCCATCAGACATTCCCTTCTCACAGGGTAGTGGCAGTCGCCCTGATCTCTCTCCTTCTTATGAGTATGACGACTTTTCTCCTTCAATTACCAGGTCTACTTCATTCTATACATAAGATATTTATTTTAACAGTTTCTTTTGAACTGTGCTTTGTATAAACATTTCATTTACTTCTTTTGTCCTGGGCCATTTTAGTTTTCATTAATCATTTCATTTGCCAGGTGGTATTTGTACTGCATGATCTGCATTCTTATGTCCTTTATTGATTTATTTGCTTTAAAATATTGATTTAGAATTCAGGCTTCTTATTTCCCCCTCATATTTTTTAAGGATGATGTCACTTTTGCATATTTACTATTAAAAGACAAATTGTCTTGCTTGAAATGAAGAGTTTACCTTTATTCTGTATGATCTTGTAACTTTCCTTGTCTACAAGGAAATAAGAATCATCCTGACTTAGAAAGTATACTCTCTCCCAGATGCGTAAATTTAAGTATAATGAGTAAACATTTTTTAAATGATAGAACTTAGAATCTTATAATCTTTATATATTTTGGAAATAAAATTATTTCACACATCGCTATTTTAATTGAGCATTGCAACTACCAAAAATCTGCAAAGTGTATCGAATTTTCTGTTTTGGCAATGATCCATTTATTGATCTAATTGCCATTGTTAACATTTTTCAGTTCATATAATTTAATTGCAACAACAGTTTCTTATTTTCGTTGAAATACTGAATCTACGTACTTCACTGATTCTTATTTGTTGTGCACAATAATTATATTTTAAGTAATAATAAAGCAACCTAAAATTAAACAACCAAACACCCCTTTTAGTGTTTCCACAGATTTCAGATAAATTTGACCTATAAAGGTGACATCATCAATTTTAGTATGTTAATTGAATTACATTTATATTGAATAGTTGGTATTTTCTTGTTCCTCTGCATGGGTGTTTGTTAACTTTAGATACCACTTATGTATTTATAGGGTGAAAGAATTGACTGTAGACCCAACCGCTGCTGGTGATGTCCGTCCAATAATGCACCATCCACCCAACCAGATTGATGACTTAGAGACACAGTGGGGTGTAGGGAGTTCCCCTCAGAGAGATGATCTGAAACTTCTTTGTGAACAAAATGTGAGTGACTTAGTATAATTGTAATTGATCTAATCTTAATTAATTCATTTCATCAGTAACAGAACTTAATAACTGAAAACTATCATCTAAATCAGGTGTCAGCAAACTATGGCCTTTGGGCCAACCATCTGTTTTTTACAAATAAAGTTTTATTGGAACATAGATATGCTTATTCATTTATGGATTATCCTGCTGCTTTTTTACCACAACACCAATGACAGAGACCATATGGCTCACAAACCCAAAACATTTATTTGGCCCTTGAAGAAAGTTTACCAACTCCCTGATATAAACTTTTTTTCTTTCCTAATTTTTATACCAATACTAAATTTGAGAATTTTAAAAATTAACATAGGGGAAAACAGCTTTAAGAATTGTACATAAAATATAACATAAATAAAGCTTAAAAACAAAAGAAGTATGGACACATATGTATTGAAAAGATTCATGTACTATATTAAAATCAAACATGGCAAAATGCTAACATTCATTAAATCTTGTTGCTTTTCTATATGTTTGAAATTTTTAATGATATTTCATACTTTAAAAGTTTGATTCCCCAACTACTCAAAAAATAATGAAATACATGCCCATTGTATAAGGACATAAGGTATAAAGAAATTTAAAAACAGAAATAATATATATACTTTCACATAATTGCCTTTAATATATCGAGAGGTACTTTTCTGTAAGATGTGAAAGTTATTTAACTTTATTTTTAAAATGTATATTCTGTATAGTTTTATATAATTCCCACTAAGAATCCTGTGGTGGCATTTTTTTCTTTTTTTAAATTTTTAAATTTTTAAAATTTTTTGTAGTAGTCCAATTTCTTGGTAGACATTTTCTTACAATGTTAAAAGTTACCGTTGATGAGTTGCTTACTACGTGACATACATTTGGTAAGCATTTTACTTACTACCTAATTCTAACAACTGAATGTGGTAGATACTATAATTGTCCCTACTTTATAATCTATATTCTAAGAAGTTTAAGTAACTTGACCAAGATTATACAAATAAAAGTGCTTAAGCCAGGATTGGAGCCTAGATCTTTGTTATTCCAGAGCCAAATTTTACATTATTTAAACTTATTGCTACTGCAGTATAATATTCTTTGAAAACATGAAAACAGTATAACTTTAGTTGTTATGTTGTAATGCTTTCTAGTGGATATTAAGGCCAAAATATTCTAGAGTAACAAATAGACATACTACTTTTATGTTCCATATCCGTTTCTATTACTAAAACAGGGCTTAAAGCAGCAGTTCTTAACCAGGGGTGATTTGACCCCCCAGGGCAAAATGCGTGTAGACAGTTTTGGTTGTCACAACTAAGGTGATGTTGCATGCATGTAGTGAGTAGAGGCCAAGAATGCTGCTGAATATCATACAGTACACAGGACAGCATCCCCCTCAACTCATCCCTGCAAAATATCAGTAGTTCCAAAATTGAGAAAATCTGGTTCAAAGTAAAAGTTATAAACTTTGAACCATAGAAGATAAAGAACTAAAAATGAGATCTTGGCTCCAGTCCATCACCTGTCTCTACAAGTTTTGAAAGAGACTGTAGTTGCTCTTAGAATCTTTAAAGCAAACCCTGTATTGCACCTAGATGTGGTACATCCCCAAGATATGGAAAACCAGAACAAGATGGACACTCCCTATAGCAAATCTTTCCATTTTATTTATGCATCTATTGGGCCTCTGCAGGGCCTTAATTTGCAGAAGTTAGCTAGGTGACCAGAGCTAATCCAGGGTTTTTGTAAGTATGACATCATGAGTTCTTACAGCCTTCATGTTTGAGAGAGTGTGCATTTCTATTATCTTTACTACCCCTAGGGAATTATCTTGAGATGGTTCAGCCTTAGCCTTTAGTTAAGTAATGGTGCATGTATACATATTCTTATTAAGTATTAACAAAGTAGATTAAAATGAAATAGTATCTAAGATAGGCTCTAGAGATCAAACTAATGTAGGGAAACAAATTAGAGGAATAACCAAATGCATTAGAATTGCAGAAATAGAAGATATTTGTATAGACAAAAATATTCAGAGTAGACTTTATGGAAATAATAGGAACTTGCCTTAGTATCTTGAAGCAAAGAAAAAAAAGAGAATATTCAGGGCTTTTGAAGGGTAGGTGGCCAGAAAAAATGAGTAAAGGTGTATTGAATGTGTGTGTTCATCAGAGAGAGAGTGAGAGAAAGAGAGAGAATATAGAAAATGCCAGCATGTCCTGATGAAAAGCAGATGCATGTTTTCCCGAAGAGAACAGTTCTTTGGCTATAAACTTTTAGGATTCTATACACTTTTAGGGATGGTATCTTATTGAGGAGAGTCAAATGTCTGCTTATGTTTTATTTAACCAAAATATGTACATATATTTGGAATCATATATTTTATTTGAAAAATGCTTTTTCTACTCACATTTTATAAAACAATTGTAAGTAAATTCTTTATGATTGTCTTTATCACTAAAGCCACATATTGAGGAAATAAATCATTAGAGACTGGAGGAAGGCAGCTCAAAAAAGAAAGCTAAGCTACAGTAGTTTTGACTTGATAAGTAAGACCAGAATATGAATATGTTGTATATACAGTCAGTTGTCCCTTGGTATATGCAGGAGATTGGTTCCAGGATGGCCTGTATAGACCCAAATCAGGGCACACTCAAATCCCTTAGTTGGCCCTGCAGAACCTGCATATATGAAAAGTCAGCCCTCCATATGACTTAGGTTTTGTATCCCACAAATACAGTATTTTCAATCCATGTTTGGTTGAACAAGGTGTATAAATGGACCTGCATAGTCCAAATCTGTGTTCTAGGGGCAACTGTATGTGTGATTTTTGTGTTGATGAATTAAAATTTTGGTTTGTCAATTGAAATTTCCATTAAAAATTGGTAAGCAAATTACACAGTATAATTAGGAAATTAAGATTTAGTAAGAGTTGAGTCCTTCAGAACACTAATTTGATAGTCACAGTAATGAAAGACATTATCTTTCCATCACCTAAAGACGTTATCTTTACATCTCTTTTAAGGAAAGAAACTTCATATATATATATATATATATATATATATATATATATATATACATGTATGTATGCACGAATGAAATTGTTAGTGAAAAGTAGACAGTACTGAGGAAATATTTCAGTATGTTTACAGCCTGCAATAAATGTAGTTTTGAAAAGTTGCACTATTCCAAAAGAGATTGCTTTTTTACAATAATTCTGCAATACTCATATAATTAAGTTTGGGTTGTCTTATTGGGAGTTACATTAAATATTTTGACCCATAGAAACTATGGCTTTGCCTTTTGTATATATTTTAGTGGTCTTTACCATTCAAGCTTCCTCAA